AAAAATGTCAAAGTGAAGCGGAACGCAGATCTTGCAGTTTGGTGAGTGGCAGTCAGCAGCAACCACGCCTCCTTCACCTCCAAACATTAGGGGGATTCTGGCTGCCCCTCGTGACCCAGGGCTTGCCATCACATCAGCACTGCCAAGCAGACCAGCTCTGGTTCAGGTGGGACTTAAATGAGAGATCCGCAGACACAGGTCTGAGGTAGGACGTGCCAACTGCCCCAGATCGGTCCTTCCAGTCTTGATTTCCAAGGCTGTACTTTATGGGTCTCTGCTGGAAGGTCTAATCTTTAAGACATTTGGCCTCACTCCTTATTTTTCTCTCGGACTGAGAATTTAGTATGTCTTCTATGATTTTTTTTCTTATTTCTTACTATATTTGTTTTTCACATTGGATAAATTCTATTTCTAGACCTACAAATCAGTCCTGGGGTATGGGCTCAAAGGAGAGGCTAAGGCAGACATTTCATGAGGGCTGACCTGGTCTGCCCCTGTCACGAGACATGTGACATCAGGTACAGCCAATTGACCACTTTGCTCTTTCTCTGAGGGACAGCTTTTCCTCTGGACTTGTGAGGAAGTCACTTGGGAATATTGTGTTTCTGTGCCAATGGAATTGTGCTCTTCCAATCTGTAGAAAGTGACAGTGACTCTCATCTTTCAGAAAAGAACATGAACTTCAGGGGGGGTTTCTTCAGGACCTCTTGATAGTTTTCCCCTGGGGTATCCGTGGCCAGCACAAACCCAGCTTTCAGGAAACCTGGCAGGCTGGCTCCATCTGTGTGCAAGGCGGGTCAGGAGTTACAGTAAGGACTAACCAGCCCTCATAGCTCACACATACACACCTGTCTGTCAAGTCAGTCATGTGAATGGAGGTTTTACCTTCAGGGTAATATGTCTGCTTGGATTGCATTAGCTAAACGTTTATGTGGTTCAGAAAAGTCTATGGCGAAGTTTACTCTTATTCTAAAATACTGTTTCCTCATGAAAAGTGCCTCTGGCTTCTCCAGTCTGGACAGGGTCAGCATGGGGAAAAACACAGCGCTTAGGAGATGCTCTATACCAGATGCTTGGCTGAGCACTTTGCATTGTGTCTTTTACTCTCTATCAAAGATCTCTTGGAATTCACCATGACTTTCTTTTTCCCATGGTGCTGAAAATAGAACCTGTGGCTTCCTTCATGCTGGGAAGTGCTCTGACTCTGAGCTACATCCCCAGGCCATCACAGTGGCTTCTTAAAAGAGAATGTGTTGCCAGCAGGGAGCACCTGCATTCACACAAAGCAATGTATCCACAAAGTATTTCCATAAGGAGCCCAATGGTAAGTAGGTGAGGTTTAGCAGGCCACCCCATGTTACAGCGGCTCACTCTGCTCCCCCACAGCGAAAGCAGTCACAGGCAACTTATAAACTGCTGGGCCATGCTTTGAGAACATCCAAGAACGAATCGCTAGTCAGCCGTTCTTTCATTGTGTGCACTTGAACTTGTAAAAGAATGCCTTAGGCAGCCTCACGGGGAAAGTCTGGGCCCCCTGAGCTTACACTGGACACAACTGGGGATAATTAGAAACCCAAACACATGAGGCCTGGCACTCTCACCTCAGGAGAATGCCAAGCATCCACGTCCTCCTCTCCCTGCGAATGAGAGAAAGTATGCACTCTGAGGTGTGAATGGGCACAGACCTGCACAGGGCACTGAGGGAGTGGGGGGGGGCACCTAGCACAGGACACTGAGGGAGTGGAGGGGGGCACCCAGCACAGGACACTGAGGAAGAAAGGAGTGACAGGTGTCAAAGTAAAAATGCACTTCTTGTGACCAAGGCTGAAAGCAAACTAATCTACAGATAAAAACATAACATTTTGTTTATGGTAATTTGACACACGCCCATTTAGCAAAACATTAGTAGGCTCCCCCTGGGGTCTATGACCTCCCTATCCATGGGCTGACCAACCTTAGAGTACCAGGATCGTTTCTTCTGTGGAGTGGGCCCAAAATCCAATCAGAAAGCAATTAGTCACCCCAATCATCATGCCACTACTGCACCCTTGGGCACATCTTGACTGGCAGGCTGGTACTGTGAATTCATAGCCGCAATGTTGACCCACACAAGACTGGGCCAATCGACACTCCGTAGATTGTTCTTATGAGCCCCTTCCCAGATGTACTACAGGCAGTTAAAGGCTCAGAGGACGCGGGAGTCAAAGTCCTGTGTGATTAAACATTGGCACAGGACACCTGTTTAAGTAAATAACACCCGTGTTCATTCAGGCAACCCTAACTAAATACAATGGGACACACACACACACACACACACACACACACACACACACACACACGAAGGCGTGGCAGGGAGAGGGAAGGAAAGGAATTTGGGATAGAAAGAAACTAAGAAACTGAGGGGAGCTCTGAACTCTGATCTAAGACCTTCATGTCTGTGAAATTGAAAAGGCAAAGTAGATGAGAAATGTACTTTTTAAAGAGCATTTCTGAGAGAGAGAGATTAAGAGAAGGAAACGGAGAGGAGAGAGGGAAAGGAAGGAAGGTGGAAAGAAAAGAGGGAGTGACAGGAGAGAGGGGGAGAGAGAGGGAGAGAGAGGGAGAGAGAGGGAGAGAGGGGGAGAGAGAGAGGGGAGAGAGAGGGAGAGAAGGAGAGGGAGAGCAACAGGCATTCTGCTCAATTTGGGGCTTTGGGTGGGAGTTTCTCCGCTCTCAAATATGTTCACTCCTGAGGGGTCCCAGGAAAGTATGACAAGCCCAGGGGGTGTGGCAGTGCCTGGAGGGGTAGAGGCAGGGCCCAGGAGGTGCCACTGACATTTTACTGTTCCAAGTTCTCCCTTCTGTAACTAAGCCCCACACTTCTACAACTTGCTCTCACGTCAGCAGTGGGAGTAGCAAGCCTCTGCACTCCACTGGGGTACACCCCAGGGGCCAGTCCTTAGAGAGAGGGAGGGAGAGAGAGGGAGGGGGAAGAGGGAGAGAGAGAGGGAGAGGGAGAGGGAGGGAGAGAGGGTGGAGAGAGAGGGAGATGGGGGAGAGAAGGAGAGAGGGAGAGAGAGAGAAGAATTGAACTAGCTTTCAGGGCCCCTCTAAGACTCTGGGAAGAGACAATAGCATTTTAGAACTTAGGATTTTATATTCATTCTTTTTTTTTTTTT